AACATGGTGAAACCCCGTCTCTACTAAAAATACAAAAAATTAGCTGGGCATGGTGACGCGTGCCTGTAATCCCAGCTACTCAGGAGGCTGAGGCAGGAGAATTGCCTGAACCCAGGAGGCGGAGGTTGTGGTGAGCCGAGATCGCGCCATTGCACTCCAGCCTGGGTAACACTAGCGAAATGCCATCTCAAAAAAAAAAAAAAAAAAAAAAAAAAAAAAAAAAAAAAAAAAAAAAAAAAAAAAAAAAAAAAAAAAAAAAAGTAGTGACTGTCTTTTCATAATTTGCATAAACATTTAAATTAACAGCTTTTTAACTTTTTTCTCAATTTTGCTTGTCATCTGTTCCTATCTATCCTGAAGTATGAAGCAGTTCTTGATTTAGCACAAGATTATGCATTAACTGATTTTAGATTTATTAACGGTTCATGGGTTCCATACTAAGTAGCAATGGATTTTCCAAAGTAACATGAAGTCCCCATCTGATATGGTCTGGATTTGTGTCCCTGCCCAAATCTCATGTTGAATTGTAATCCCCAGTGTTGGAAGGAGGAGGCTGGTGGGAGGTGATTGAATCATGAGGACAACTTCTGCCTTGCTATTCTGGTGATAGTGAGTTCTCATGAGATCTGGTTGCTTAATAGTGTGTAGCACCTCCCCCTTCACTCTCTTCTTCCTCCTCCATTCACGTAAGATGTGCCTGCTTCCCCTTCCCCTTCAGCCGTGATTGTAAGTTTCCTGAGGCCTCCCAAGCTGTGCTTCTTATACAACCTGCAGAACTTCATATCAATTAAACCTCTCTTCATTATAAATTACCCAGCTTTAGGTGGTTCTTTATAGCAATGTGAGAATGGATTAATATACCATCTCAACACTGAAGACATAGAGGACACAGGCAGGGGTGATCAAAAGTTAATGGAGTGGTATTGGCATGAAGCACTTCACCTAAAGGAGGGCTCTCCTTGTAGCCTAGGGCTTCCCAGAGGCCTCTGAGTTGGAGGTGGACTGGAGCTGGACCTTAGGAGCAAACTCTAGGTGTAAAGGCATAGGAAGAGAAGAAGCTGGAATTTTGGTAAGAGTAAGTGGTTTAGGAGAGCAGGGCCAGATAGGTAATATAGAAAGTCAATGGCTGGAAACAAAGGTTGGGATCATATTATAAAAGAAGGAGCAAAAGAGGAGCCAACTTTTCTGAGTTCTCAACTATATATTAGCTCTTTTAATGGCCATAATTAACTCCATAATGGAGGCCATGTCTGTTAACAAGACAATGCATGGCTGGAAAAACAGAATCCAATCTGGGTTGCTTAAGCCAAAGAAGGAAATCTGGCTGGGTGTGGTAGCTTATGCCTCTAATTCCAGCACTTTGGGAGGCTGAGGTGGGAGGATTGCTTGAGCCCAGGAATTTGAGACCTGTGTGGACAACATAGGGAAACTGCATCTCTATAAATAATAATAATAAAAAAATTAACCAGGTGGTACACACCTCTGGTCCTAGGTACTCAAGAAATTGAGGTAGGAGGATTGCTTGAGCCTAGTAGGTTAAGGCTGAAGTGAGCCATGATTATGCTAGTGCATTCCAGCCTGGGCAACAGAGTGAGACCCTGCCTCAAAAAAAAACAAAAAAAAAAAAAAAAAAAAAAAAAAAAAAAAAAAAGAAAAGAAAATAGGAAAATTCAACTTAAGATCTCAAGGGTAAGAGCACAGTCAACTTGGATTAGAAACCCACCTGGTGTCTAATCAACTGTAATAAAGGGGCCAGAGTTTACTAGATAAATATAGCTACCAGGGACTTTGTGAGTGGCTACTGGAAAGACAAAGTTAACATATATTATAATCTTCAGAGCAATTGCTAAAATATAAAGCAGTTTAGCATAAAAACCAATAGATAAATTGAATAGACTTAAAACTGAAGGAGTAAACATCGGTATACCTAAGGCATGCCTGGTCATGAGTTGATAATTGATGAAACTGGATGATGGATATATGGGGGTTCATTATGTTCTTCTATCTTTGTAAATGTTAAAAATTCTCCATAATAATGGGTTTAGAAAAATATGTGCATTTACGGAGAAACTAAAAATTTCCCTTGGTCCTTCTATTCCAGTCATTATATATGCTTTACTGGAATAAAAACAGATTTTGAATTATTCTCCATGCAATAAAAGCAAAGCCACCCAGACTCATTAAGTAACAAATTTCAGGCTTGGTGAGCATCATGGTCACCACTTCAGTTGATTAAAAACCTTGACAGCTGGAACCTTTCCTGGAAATTTTGATTTAGTAGGTCTGGAGGGGGTTCTGGGTATCTTACTTTCTGCACATGATTCTAGTGGCATTGGTGCATGTCAGCTTTAAGGGCTAGATTCTGTGGATTATCGGGTGCAAGCTGCCCCCTTTCATTCCTATCTTTGGCTTGGTTACTTCCCTGCAAGCACCATGATGATGTAGCACTTTATGTACAATCTTGACTACATCAGTGCATCATGAGACATTCTGCTATTTATTCTCATTTTGTGACTCCAGCATACTGTCTTTTTCCTGGGCAGTTGATTTATAATACAGCCAATTCCCATTTTAATTGCTTTAGTTTCAAAACATAAATTTCATGGGTGTTTTTTCCCAATTTAACCTACTCAACTTCCTGTTGTTGGGTCTTTTGCCAGAAGTGCTCCCCTCCTCCTTCACCAGGGCCAGCTCCATGGGCGGATGGCCCATACTCAGAAGGGCTTCACATTTAGTTTAGTGCTCTTCTGGCACTATTTTATCTTTGAACCTGTTTTCTGTAAGTGAAGTCTGATGGGACAATGGAATATACACATGAGAGGAGGAGATGTGCAACTTATATCCAATGTTCCTTACTGCCCTGTTCATATGTAGCCTTCATGATGACCTGTGAGCAAAGAACTCTGTTGGACTCATGGTGTGTCAGAGCTTGAAGGGATTCAAAGTGAGTACAAAGTAAGCATCTTCTATCTATGACTGAATAAGGGGGGGATTCTGAGAGCCCCAAAAGGCTGAACCTCCTATGCGAACCCAACTGGCTTCAAACACAGAAAGAAGGCAATGGCATTCTAAGAAACTTGAATGACTAAGGAGCCCTATCATATCCTTTTTAACTCATGTTATATTCCTGTGTTAGCCAACCACTTATGCTGAAAATACCAAGAAGTGAAACAGTAACAGTTGAGCTAGTTTTGTACAGTGTTTCTCCTGCTGTGGTAAGAACAAAATATATATACATACAGTATGTAAACACAAGCAATAAAATACAAATTGTGTAATTTGGGTGATTCTGCATGAGTTAAATGCTCATATTTTCATTTAAAACTGGAATTGTACAATATAAACATAAACAGTAAAATACATGATAGGAATTTAACATTTTTTAGTTAGAACAGCATTAAGCAGTAAATAAAAAACACCATCATAACAAGTGGAGAAAGAGTCTATGGAAGAAAGGAAAAACATGACATTTTAGTACCTGTAGAGATAATGTTTTCCTGATGTTTGCACAAAAGCCGCCCATCTTCATTTTGTACTGGATCATGCATTTTGTGAAGTCAGTCCTGCTTTTCACTGCTCACTCCTTCTGAGGCAGGTCTTCAGCCTTTCCTTATTGTAATCCACCTCCTTTGATAGCCTTTTGAAAACTCCCGCTTGGTTGCCACAGATTTGAGGAGCACCACTGACCTCCTAGTTCCTCTGCTGCTTCACTTGGGGAATCCAGGACTGATTTAGAAATGCTGTGATTCAGGGGCTCCCCATGTACTAAAAAAAGGATATCTGCTGCAGTGGAAGATGACATAAGTTCTCAACTCCCTTCTAACCTCGCTTGTCTTGGAGAAGCCTAATGCTAGAATCTCTTATCTGGTACTGTTGGCTCTTCCTTTGATCAGTTTTGGCAGAAAAATACTTCCAGAAGACTAAACTCCAGCTATTGTCCTTGACAACTTGGTTTCTCTCTGTTGTTTTCTGCCACTCCATGAATTGTTGCACATTTATAAATGCTTAAAGTGTAATAAGCTACACAATTAAATTAGAAGGGCCAAAACGTCTCCTAGAGAATATGTGACAGAGTCATGTTATGGTTAAAACACACACACACAAATGTTTAGATGACCAGACTTATTATAAGTGGTTAGTTTTGGGCTTGCAAAGGTAAGATATGTTGCTATTTTAAAGCAAATGAATGAGCTGTTAACACGAAGCTCAATTTATGCTCCCCAAAACTTTCAAGCACTGATATGTCAAGACTTTGAACTATTACAAAAATGGGGAAGCGGCCAGTTAGACCTTGCCCTCATCCTTGAAGGCTAACTCTTCACCTTGGTTTTCCTTAGGGGCTATTGAAAGTGGTAGGTGGAGGAAATAACGAAGGCTCTTTTTCATGCATATCTAGCATTATTGTCAACAATCAAAATAAAAATGTTTCAGAGCAAACGTGCATGTGGAGAATCCTGTGGACTGCTCTGAGTTCCCCAGTGGGTTTAGAAGAGGGAAACCCTGGGTTGATTAGCAGGCAGACTCAGTGCGAAGGAAGAAAGCCTGGCCAATCACTGGGGCAGAGAGCAGTTGGGAAAGAGAGTGAGCCAGTTGGGATTGAAGAGTACAGATGGTACAGGCCCCTGCACCTCATTCCTCAGAACTCTTCATTCTCTAACCTCTGGGACTTCAGGACAAAAACTGCAGCCACCCAAGGAAACTGGGTCCAGGTGGGTGACTCCCTACTTTCCCTGTCGGGAAGTAGAGTGAAGACTTTGCTTCTGCCCACAGCGAGGGCTGTAGAGGGAGGAAATAAACAGGCATTCCTAATTCAAATCTGAGTGACCTCCTCTGTAAAAATTTCATTAAATGTAGTAGATAATGTCAGATATATCTTGTGTCAAATATTAAGCAAATGTGAGCTAGAGGTGCAGTACCCCTATATGTCAATGGGAAAGTGATTTCTGAATTGCAACTTGCTTCCAAAGGAACTCTTGGAAGCTCACCCTGTTCAAAGCAGGAGACTGCTTGTCCCAAAGATGGCCAGGGACCAGGCAAAGTGAGGCTGGACAACTAAGAATTGTGAAGAGGCAGGCAGAACAGGTGGAAAGCTTCTGTTAGCAGTGATTGGCATCATTAAAACTCTTTATGAAGAGTCACACAAAGCAATGTTTGGGAGTTTTTTGTTTTTAAATAGTTAGAATAAAGTACAGCAGAAGTACACCTCATCTTTAAAAAGTTAATAAGGAGGATAATTGTGGTACATGTACAAACATCATAACACCAAACTGGAAGCAAGAAACTTCACTGGAAATTGATGAGGGAGACAAACTTTATAGGAATCTGCAAAAGAAATTAGCAGAGCAAGATATCTGTGGTAAGGAATACAAAGAACGTACAATTGTGTATTTGAGAGGTTTAATGAAACATTATGATCTGTCAAATTAGGACATCAACATTAACAACAAAAATTAATTGATCTGAGGAAGAGCAATATGAAAATATTCTCATGTAGTGCCGTCCAAAAGAACTTTCTTTGGTGACGGAAATGTTCATTATCTTTGTGCTAATACAGAATCTACCAGCTGCATGAATACTCGAAATGTGGCTAATCCAATTGAGGAAATGAATTTTTCATATAATCTAATTAAAATTTAAATAGTCATGTGTGGCTAGTGGCTCCTGAATGAACAAGGCAGTTCTAATGCTTATGGGTCCAAACCAGTGGTTTATTTGGGGGACTTCTCCAATCAGTGCTAAGGGATTGAGGCACGAGTGTTGAAGGAGAGGAAAGAACCCACCAGACTTATTTGGCCACTTAAACAAGACCCCAAATTCCCCACTGGTTCCCAAGGCAGGGAACAGCACAACCTGCTGTGAAGGATATGAGGAAGGACTCTGAGGGAGGCATCACTAGGAGCTTCCAACTCCTGGCTAATGTCAGTGGGACCAAAAAACTTAAAATTTTGGTCATTCAGCTGGAAAGAGGCCTCTGGTTCCACATACAGAACTGGAGGTCACCCCCCAAGGGCCATCTGTGCATGGAAACCACCACTCTGGAGCTGCTGGGGAGTTGGAGGGAGGGGTGCTCACTTCCGGACAGGGTTTCCAGAGCCAGAGGAGGATTTAGAATTGGAGGAAGTAGAGGGACCGGAGGATCCTGAGGACCCTTTCTGGGTACCTACAGGCTGCACAGGTCCTTTCTTTTTTGGGATTATGATCTTGTTCTTGCTCTTAAACACTTTGCTGGGATCCAGTTTATTCACAAAGGAGTCGGTCTCTTCTGTGAGGAGGTTTGTGTTGTAGGTGATGGGTTTATACATGCTGAACCATTGCTGAAAGGCAGAATTGGGAGAGAAGGTCACAATTCAAAGAAGAAATGCCATTCTGTGTGCTCTTTTGGGGGGAGGCAGGACAGCTGTGAACAGGAAGCAGGTACATTTTCATGAAAATCTACCTAAAAATCTATTTGCTCTTCCTTTAAGTGGAAGTGATAACAGATCCCATCAACCTCTAGTAAGATATACACGTTGCTTTATGAGGTCTCATGATCTTTAAGATAAATGCAATATGAGAACTAAGAATCTGAGCACATTTCCTTCTGATCTAGTGAGTCCTGAGCCTGGGTTGCTAGATTCCAAAGCTCTAGAGGACAGGGTCTAATTGTTCTGCCCTCAAACCAGCTACTCCCCATCAGGTGGATTCTGGCAGCACCATTACCCCAGGAAATGTAGGAGGCAGGCCAGTGTGGGCCTCTGCTGAGGGGTGCTGCATCTGTTGGTGTTTTGTTTCCTACTGTTTTTTTAGGCAACTGAGGGTAAAGGGCATCCACATGTATTTACCTTTTAAATCACAGCTGCCTCCCAATGTTGACCAGATAACTGTTATAATTATGTGACATTTGAAGAAAATGAAGCCTACCAGATGAATACACACATGGTATGGTGAGCTGGAGCTGAGTTCCTAACTTGCTGCGAATTTAGAGCTGCAAGAAACCACCATGAAAGAGCCCAGATGAGCTCACTCTAGTCAAAAGATTTTCCAGCTACACTTGATGTTTTCAAACCAGGTTGAAACCTGGCATCTGTATGTCTGAAATGGTGACCAGACCTGTAATATAAATGAGGGACACTCACACAATGGAATACTCTGTAGCCACTGAAGAGGACAAGTGCTCTAAATGCACTGAAAGGGAATAAGCTCCAAGATGGAGTGTTATGTGAAATGAGCAAGATGCAGAATAATGTGGACAGGACATTATACTTGTGATTTAGAAAAAAGGAACGACAAAAATGTGTATGCATGCTTTATGTGCAATGAGTATCTTGGCAAGGGCACACAGGAAACTCATAATAGCAGCTGCCATTGGGCAAGTACACTTGGAGAACAGAGGAGTGAGAGTCTGACTTTTTACTCTTCCTGGGTGCATGTACTGCCAGCCCAGAACAACTCATCGGATATAAACTATCCAATAAAATTTAATTAAAAATAAAGCTCCCCAGTTAATTCGGAGGATCAGTCAAGTTTGGGAACCACTTAACTAGATAAGCATAAAGTGAGGTTTTCCACTGGACTCACCTGTCTTGCTTATTGAACATGTAGGTTCCTGGGCCCCACCCTAGATCTCCTGAGTCAGATGGGGAAGTTGGGAACCTGCAACGTAACCATTTCCTCAGATTTTGGTATATACCATAGTTTGCGATGGCAGGCGTTCCTCCCTTACCTTGGCCTGTGGGCTAATGCCATAGCTGGTGAAGGCATATTGCCACTGGGGCAGGCCCAGGTGGGTGATGAGCAGGCGGTAATAGGCAGTAAAGGTGTCTGTGAGAAAATGCCAGTATAACGCTCTGTCCAAGAACCAGATCTCAGTATCTTCTGCTAACGCTGAAATGGAAGACAAAGCGGAGAAAAAGACAAGGAATAGCTTAACAGTTTTTTCTTTTTAACTATAAAAGGTTATACTCGTGGTTTAGGAAAAAAATCCCAGCAGACAGAATGTAAAATATAAAGTAAAAGTTCCCCTTCTGCCCCACTTCTAACCCTCCAGTCTCATCTTCTAGCGGCCACTTTTCCTTTGATACTCTTACAAATTTTTGATAGATCAGTTGATTGCTGTATCCGTTAGTCTCTGACCACCTGGAAGTATATTCAGGCTATCTAGAAAGCTGCACCTTTTCTGTGTGGAATCAGCGCTCCCCTCCCTCAGTGGGTGTGCACACTGTGATCTCAGCTTTCCTGACAGAAAACCACTGAATGGCTTGGGTTTTCTTTGAAGAGGTCTCTATCAGTGCCATGAAAAACCAAAAGTGCCATGAAAAACTACCACAAAGGAGACTAGCCGAGTTCACTCCTGGGAGTCTTGCCTATGCTGTGGTGTGATGTCCTGCCTCGCAGCTTCTGACTTTCCATTCTTACTACTTCAAGCCTGTCCTAATTCATCTGCTGTCTAGATAGCTGTAACATCTCCTTAAGTGGCCTCCATTATCCACCCAGTCTCTTTCTTTGACAAAACTGCTAGTGGTCATGATCCCTGCCATTCTACTCAACAACCTTCATTGACTCCCCACTGTCTTCCACATTATGTACAAACTCCTTTGCTTGGTTTTCAAAGCTCTGCATGAGAGAGAGCAATTGGCCTTCTGGCTTAATCTCCTCCTCATCCCCAACATGAACCATGTGGCCCACTGAATTGGAAGTGTCATTCCCCAAAAATCAGATGTACTTTCTCATGGCTTGGCTTTTGCCCATTTGTCCCTTGGCTTGGATTCCCCTTTGTCGCTTTTACTCCACCAAATCGTCCTCCCCACCCTGTATCTAATTCCTGCCCCTCAGTTCAAGATGCAGCTCCAAGACTATTTTGCAACAATTCCTCCAGCTGGATGATTTCTCCTTACCCCAGAGGTAAATCCCAGTGTCTGTATCCTCTCACCCCTACCAGACAGCTAGCTGAAGAGGGCTTAACATTGTCCAGCTATGTAGTCTCACAGTCCCTAGGCTAGGGTCTGAAGGACTGTTAGGGGCTAGGTGGCAGCTGCTACTTGAGGGAAGAGGGGCTTTTAATTTCCCATCTGGGGTCTTGAGGTCTAGTGATTCAGGTTTTTGTTGCTGTTAATTGGCCTACATATAGAAGTATAAAATGAAAGATAAAAGATAATGCGCTTTCTGGATGCTTATCTAGTACATGAACTTGCTGTCGGAGTTTATAAACAAAATGTCTATTTCTTTTAGTTTATATTCCCATATTACCCTAATCCCATCTACTATTTTGCAATGACTCACAAATGAAGGTGGGTAAAAAGACTAGTAATTAGCCCAGAGGGAGATGCTCAGAGAGAACCAAAGGCATTTCTGGGTTTGGGACACACAAGAAACCTGGGAGCATCTCAACAGACCAAGGAGGTATGTGTCTCCTAAGCCATGGCTGACAAGCAAGGTCAGACAAGACCCTAGTCAAACTACAGGACCATGCTTGTAAACAATTCTTACCTGGTTTCCCACTTTTGTAGACAAGGCAAACTTTCCCATTCCCATTGCATGAATCCAGCTCAAATATCACACTGCGAGAGTCAAAGTGAGGCTTCTCTGGCTGATCATCACTGGCTGCAAACCCAGAAGTTAATGGTAATGTTCAAACAAACAAACAACTCAAACACATACTTACATATCCAACTTTGCTAGGTTGAAAAAACAGAAGGAAAAAGCCTTATCTCAGACATATACTTAAGTAGTATTTTCAAATAAACTCTGTATTTGAATTAAAGCCCTGAACTAATTCATGGACTAGGCCTTCTGTCTGGGTTTCCCTATCAGCAACAGACAGTGTCAGGGAATCTGGGAAAAGGAGTCATGAGGAAAGCAAACTGAACTTCTTGGGAGCAGGACCACAGAGCAATCTGAATGGCCTGATGTTGACATAACTTCATTTCCGTTCCTGAGATTGTTTATTCTATAAAAGTGGGATAGCAAACACATTATCTGATTCTTGCTTTCTGTGCAATACCATGGAGAAGCCCTTTAAGTCATGTGGCATAACTCTAATTTATTCTTTTTAAATGACTGTTTCATAGTCTGTGGGAGTGAAGTACCCTCATTTATTCCAGCATTCTTCTATTGATAGGCATTTGCCTACCATTACTTGTGAATGCTACAATAATCTTCTCTGTATATGCCCTTATATTCTGATGTTTTCATTATATGGGACAGATATCCTGCAATAGAATAGATGTTGCCAGATTGCTTTTCAAAAAGACCTTTTTTAAGATCCAGGAAGATAGAATGGAAATCCTTTGTTTTTGAAAGACATTTTCAATGGGTATAGAATTCTAGGTTGATTTTTTTTTTTTTTTTTTTTTTTAGACAGGGTCTCCACTCTGTCACTTGGGCTGGAGTGCAGTGGCATGTGAACATGGTTCATTATAGCCTCAACCTCCTGGGTTCAAGCAATCCTCCTACCTCAAACTCCCAAGTAGCTGGGGACCACAGGCGTGGTCACCACACCCAGGTATTGTTTAAATTTTTTTGTAGAGATGGAGTTTTGCTGTGTTGCCTAGGCTGATCTCAAACTCCTGGGCTCTAGTGATCCTCTGGCCTCAGCCCCCTAAAGTGCTGGGATTACAGGCAGGAACCACTGCACTAGCCTATTTTTTCCTTTGAGTATTTTATCTCACTTGAATTGCTTTTAAGGAGAATTATGCTGTTATCCTTATCTACGTTCCTTTTTATGTAATTCGTCCTTTCCCTTTGGCTGCATTTATGATTTTCTCTTTATCTTTGATTTTGAGCTATCTGATTATGGTGCTTCTCAGTATTATTTGTGTTTCTTGTTCCTGGTTTATTAAACTTATTGGATATGTGGGTTTATAGTTACCATGAAATTGGTAAACTTTTGAGCCATTATTTCTTCAAATATTTTCTGGCCCCTGACCTCTCCTCTCAAATACTTCAATTACACATATATTATACCACATGTTGTCCTTCAGGTCACTGATGCTCTTTTCACAATAAATGATTTTTTTTTCTGTGTAACTTTAGATAGCTTCTATTATGTCTTTAAGTTCTTTAGTCTTTTCTTCTGCAATGTCTTAGACACTAATAATCCAATCCACTGCATTTTTCCTCTCAGAAACTAGTTTGCATCTCTAAAAGTTAAATTTGGGATGGAGATAGAATATATAAATATATCTCCATCCCAAATTTAACATACAAATATATATAACATATATAATTTGGGGATCTATATATATTTTCTATATATACACATACAAACACATATACATATACACACACACACACAACCCTTCCATGTCTGTACTTATTTTTTTTTTGATACACAGAATATAGTTATAGAAACTATTATTATGTATGCATTGCTGAGTGCTGGATATTTTTATATTTCTGTCAATATTCTTGAGCTTTGTTCTTTGACAGTTAAGTTACTTGGAAACAGATACTTTAGGCCCTCCTCTTAAGATCTGTCAGGCAGGACTAGGGCAGTATTTACTTAGGGCTAATTATTCTCCATTGCTGTGGCACCATCCTTTTGAGTACTCTATCTACTGCTGTCCAAATCATGAGGTGTTTTAGCTTGTCTGACAGAAACAGGCACTGTTCCTGGTCCTATGTGACCACTGGGCATTGTTTCTTCTAATCGCCATGAGTGGCTTTGTCCCCTGGTCTTGGACAGTTTGACATGCATGTGCTTATCAATTCTTCTCCAAATATTTGAGGGGGACACCCACTGCAGAACTCTGGGGTTTGCCCTTTATGCGGCATTTGCCTATCTGTTACTCAGTCCTGTGAACTCTAGCTGTCTTGATTGATCCGGACTCTCAGCTCTGTCTTCTCAAATCAGGGAGTGCTATGGGTCCGCCTGGGTCTCCCTCTTTATGCTGTGGACTGGAATCTCTCTCTGGGGAAATTGTAGGGTTCACCTTGTTTGTTTCCCATTTCTCAGGGCTCACTGTCCTTTGTTGCCTGATGGCCAGTGCTTGAAAATCACTGTTTTATATATTTTGTCTGTGTTCTTTGTCACTGTTGCTCCAGGTGGGTAGATAAATCTGTTCTGTTACTCCATCTTGGATGAAATAGAAAGTCCAGTTGACATGTTCCCACATGTATGTTTTAGCAGCCCTGCCTGGTGCTGACTGAACTCTGCCCTCAGGTGAAAAGTTGTAAGAACAGAAGACTCAATGTGGCTCCCTTTTGCCAACTGCAGACAGCACTCCAGCTTCTGCCTGCTTCTGACTACTCTCCAGTCCTTTAAGGCACATGTTTTTAAACTTCTTCCAGAGTGTAGAGTATTATCTGCAGAAGCCTTGATTTGGTAAGAGATTCTGCCTTATTATAAACACAATGTCAATATTTGATTTTTTTTTTTCAAATCTGCAATCACTGCTTTCAGTCCCCCTCTGAAATTTTAGTTTTGTTTTACCTCCATGGGCATATAAGCATGTCATTTTGTGCTCTGTATCTAATAACATCACTCTTAGCAGTACCAATGAATCTCTTTTTCTTTCTTTTCTTTTTTTTTTTAAGACAGCATCTCACTCTGTCACCAGGCTGGAGTACAGTGGCACGATATTGGCTCACTATAATGTCCACTTTGCAGGTTCAAGTGATTCTCCTGCCTCAGCCTCCTGAGTAGCTGGGATTACAGGTGTGCGCCACCATGCCCAGCTAATTTTTGTATTTTTAGTAGAGACAGGGTTTCACCATGTTGACCAAGATGGTCTCCATCTCCTGACCTCATGATCTGCCTGCCTCAGCCTCTCAAAGTGCTGGGATAACAGGTGTGAGCCACCACACCTGGCCCTCTTTTTTTCTCCTTAATTAACATTTTCTTAAAGTTTAATTTTTAATTGACAAATAATAATTGTATATATTGATGAAATACAACGTGCTATTTTAACACATGTATGCATTGTGGAAAGATCAAATCGGGCTTATTAGCACATCCACCACTAGTATTTATCATTTCTTCGTGGTGAAAACATTTAAAATCTTTTCTTTTAGCTATTTTGAAATATGCAATATTAGCTATAGGCATGATGCTGTTCAACAGATCACCAGAACTTACTCCTCCTGTCTCACTGAAACTGTGCCTGTTGACCAACGTTTCCCTTTTTCCTGTCCAGCCTCCCCACCCAAGCCTCTGGTAACCACTGCTGATCTGTTCCCTGTTATCTGTGCTGGTTCTCATTCATGGGGTTGTGTGTCTTCATGTGCTGAGTTATTTTTTAGTAGAAATTAGTTTCTGAAAAATTACTTATAAAAACAAATTGGGGTCTGGCATAATGTTATCTCATTCCAGAGTGAACTTTTCTTTTTATACAAAAGCCCTGAGATATAATTCACCTACCATACCATTTCACTCATTTAAAACATATTAATTCTATGGTTTTTAATATATTTGTAGAGTTGTGCAGTCATTACAATTTTAGAGCATTTCTTTAGAGTCAATCTTTATTTCTGCCAGGCCTATTGGGAGATTAGTAATCTGGGATCAATTTACCCTAATTTTGGGATTTAATGCATTTTCCAGGATACACTGAGCTTCACTCCACATGAAGAATGGTTACTTTTCACTCACCCTGTCTCCTAGAGTACAGCTTTTCACAGTGCCAACCCAGAGGGTAGATGATTTTATAATGTCACCTTCTGTAGGCTCTGGACTCCATTTTACTCCCTGTCTCACAAATCAGTCAAATTTTAAGCTTTTTAGCAGCCTCACTGCATCTTTTGAAAAGGACAATGTACCCTAGGCAAAAGCAATGTCACATGTTGAGCCTCTTCCCTGGATTTGTGTCTCCTTCTGAATGTTGATGTGGTATTACATCTCATTGTCTTGTTAGCTCTTTAATACTTTAAGGAAGATGATTTTCTAGTTCTGTACTGCTTTTCAGCTGTCCTCAGCAGGAAGGCTGCTCTGAATTACCCTAGCTTCCATTACCAGAAGAGGAAGTCTTTTCATGAATCTGATAGTCTTTGTCTTTGAAAAGGGAGATTCAAGCTTATTATATCCAATCTATCTTTTTGTTTTACAGAGATAGGGTCTATGTTTCCCAGGCTAGAAACAATTATCTAGAAACAATATGCCATTATTTCCCTAACGAAGTGTGATGTACAGAATTCTAAGATGGCTCCCAACATTTCTGCCCCCTGGTGTACATACCTTACACCCCTCCTCGTGAGTGTGATTAGAACCTGTGAGTATGATAGGTAGTCATAACCTTGGTTGTTACATGAAATAACTCTGTTGTAGTATACTGGAGAGAAATTTGTCTTCTGACTTAGACATAAGCTGCTACATTGTAAAAGGGTCATGTGGCCAGAATCTGAGGGCAGCTAAAGGTAGTGAGAGTAACCCTGGCCAAAACCCAGGAGTAAAACAGGGACTTACTTCTACACCTGTAAGAAATGGAGAACAGCCAACCACAATAAGCTTGGAATAAGTAAGATTGCAATCCCAGCAGATACCTTGATTTTGGCCTTTTCATTTTGTCGTGTCTTTTTGCCATTCTCCACTGTGATCCCTGGAACACCCTCTGTATTAATTTGCTAGGGCCGCTGTAACAACGTACCACAAACTATGGGGCTTAAATAACATACAGTTATTGCCTCACAGTTCTGGAGGTCAGAATCTGAGACTGGTATCTTTATCATTGATTCTTTCCTGCTGTGGGGAAGAATCTGTTCCATGTCTCTCCCCCAGCTTCTGGTGGTCTGCTGGTAATAGTTAGTATTCCCTGGCTTGTAAAAGGATCACCCCAACCTTTACCTTCCTCTTCAAATGGTATTCTTCCTGTGTGCATCTGAGTCCACATTTCCTCCTTTTAGAAGGGCGCCACACATACGGGATTAGGAGCTCACCCTACTCTAGTGTAACTACTCATCTTAAGTAATTAAATCTGCAGTGACCTTACTTCTAAATAAGGTCGCATTCTCAGGTACTTTGGGTTATGACTTCAACATAATTTATTTTTGGAGGGTGATACAATTTAACCTGTAACACTCTTACATCTGGTCTCTCTACTCACCTTTTAGGTTTAACTGAGACAGTATATACTTTGTAGAATATTTCTTGTACTATGTTCCAAGAGTTTTTATGTAAAAATTATACAACACAGTCCATGATATTAAGATTTACTTTTAAACACAAACACATATACCTACTCTCTCTCATGGAAGGTGCATTGATTCTACATTTCCTTTTCTTTTTCATGTATATACATCTTGAAATATCCATTTAGTTTCATTTGTTTTTTGGCTATTTACGTTTTTTTAACATCCTTCTTATGACCTGAGAGATGTATTTGGATTGTGTATACAGGACTCTTGACTTTTACTTATTTTCTCTCAGAAACCTGTATGTGCTTTCTGACTGTCTTCTATTTCCACTGTTGTAGATGGGACATTTAATGTCAGTCTGCTTATTATTCCCTCACAAGTAATTTGTTATCTTTGCCTAGAAGCTTGTCATTTTCTCCACATCAGGATATGCATAGGTGTCTGTGTTTTCTCACCTGTACAGCTTGGGTTAGGTAAGCTTTTTCCATCTGCAGAGAGGTTTCTTTTATTAGCATGTATTTACTGCCTTTCTATCTATTCCTTTTCTCTTTTTAGAGCACCTATAATTCTAATGGAAAGTGTCTTGAATCTATTTTCCACTTCTCTAAATTCCTAACTTTTTCCTCATAATCCCCCTCTTCTAAATTTATTCATCTATGCTTTAAGATATATATTGCACTTGATTTTTCAGGCTAACTTGGGTCTCAATAAAATATGTATATACTCTTTTTCATGTAGTCAATTGTTTGAGAATCTTTGATTTTACCCATAGAAAGTCTTTATGTTGTCTTACAACTCCTTAAGTATTCTTGTTCTTATTTAGATTTTTATCTGTGTCCTCTAGCAGTTTTATTTCTCTGAGTATGTATTTTTTTTAAAACAGTGATGGAATATCACCATTTAGCACAGACTAGAGTGTGGTAGCTATTCACAGATGTGATCACAGCATGCTACAGCCTCAAACTTGTGGGCTCAAGTGATCAGTGGCAATTCACAGATGTGATGATAGTGCACTACAGCCTCAATATCCTGGGCTCCAGTGATCCTCTTGCCTCAGCCTCCCAAGTAGCTAGGAATACAGGCTCATGCCACTGCACCCGGCTGATTGTGTATTTTTTCCTGATCATCATCTCTCTGACTGCTGAGTTCCCTGAGAAAAGTCACTGTTTTTCCATTTAGGTTTAATGAGACTTAGGTATACTTGTTGCATTATCTTAAAAGGCATGAATCTAGCAGGTGTCGGAAGGCCAAGTGGTTTTTATCCCCATTTGTATGTGGAACAATGTGATCCCATGAAGCCTCTCTGTTATCTACTCTACCTCTTCTCTTCCAGCCTCAAAAACAAGGAAGACTTAGTCTACCTATTTAACTACTTCTTTGCCTTTTAGAGAAGCCCACCACACACATGTAAAGACAGTGAGACCTTTTTCCTACCCCTGGGGATTCCACAAATCTTTGAGTGACAGGCTCTTCCCAGAACCCATCGCTGTCCAGCCTCTGCCCCCAAACTCCTCTGGGACTATTCTTTAATGATCATCCAATTTGAGGAGAAAGCCTTACATTAGTTTTCTCTGCCAGAGCTTAGTGAACCCCAGGGTCTTTGGATTGGAGACACTAGTTGCCTATTCATTATTTGTTCTTCCTTTCTTTCTTAATGAAAGCCCAGTTCTGTTCAAGGAGGCCATATTGCACAACTAAAAGTACTCACCTTCTCAGACCCATGGCAACATGGGTTGCCATTTGACTGTTCCAATAGCTATTAGGCAGTGCTGCTGAGAAAGCTATTGTGTTCTTTATCAAAAGGGAGAGATTCTGCAAACAGCTAGGTATACTGCCCTTTGCCTTTTACTCTTCTTGTTTCCCGACAGGAATAGCCCACATTCCTCAACCACAAGGATGAAAACCACATCCACAGGCTGGTGCAGCACAATGCCAGAGGGAGACTTTATCACTGACTTTCTCCAGCAGCTACATCAACCTAGTTCCAGATGTCTTGTTATGAGAAAAATAAATTACTATTTAAACATTGTAACTACATCTGTTACATGTGACCAAACACAACTCTGACTAAGTCCTCACTGATACCCAGCTGCTCCTAGGTTTTAGCAGCCACTTGACTTATGAGCCATTTCACTCAGAAGTGGCAAAGAGCCGGGAGGTAAGAATGGAGGGGAAAGGAGCTGTATTTAGATGGCTGTGTTCACTGAATCCTCTTCATACTGAAATGCTGAGTGAAGTTTAATCTTTAACATTCATTCATGCACCAAGATTCATTAAGTGCCTACTGTGTGCCAGGCATTGAACTGGATGCTGGAAACAAAACAAAGATGCCAACCCTGGTATCTTCTTCCTACCTTCATGTGTATCGTCCTCCAGGTCTGCCAGAGTGGGTGCATTAGGAAGTGAATACATGGAAGACTGGGTGAGCTGAGTCAGTTTTGAGATGCTGTTAATTGCCATGCTGCCCAGTGGAATGATGTGCTCTAGGGGAACATGCATAAGGAGAATTACATGGAGTAACAGCCAGTTACAATGGTTATGATGAGGTTCTGCTTGAATAACCCAAGCCCAGGTATTGTTTGGCCCCACAGCTGAGGACTCTGATGGAAGGTAGGAAGAAGAGGATCACTCACTGCATATTCCAAAGTACCAAACTTATACAAAAAAAGGAACTGGGGGCTACAGGTGATGAAGAGCAACCGCTGTATGTATTAGGGTGGAGTTGAGGAAAATTTTAAAAGGGAATACCAACAAAGAACTGAGAAATCTGGGCTTGGCTTAGGGACATCTGAAGGGTAAAGGATTTTAAAATGTTTTTTCACCCTCTTTCCTTTAGCAAGTATTTTGCATAAATATTTTATGAAGGAGTAACAGCTTTGATTATACAAGGGACCCCTTTTATTCTTCTTGTTATAAGCTTTCATGATAAAAAAAAATCCCCCCCTTCTCTTTATTATTTTCCTTTACTCAATGATGAGAATTTGGCAGCCTTCTTGCTTGATTCTAGTCTTCTGTGATGAGGGTCTAGGAAGGCTGCATGTTTTCTTTATTTGACTGCTGAAGAAAACTGGAATGGTTTAGAGCAATAAAACAACTGGTGTATAGACCACGGAATGTCTAAGAAAAAATGACCACTAAGGCCAGGCGTGGTGGCTCAAGCCTGTAATCCCAGCACTTTGGGAGGCCGAGGCGGGTGGATCACGAGGTCAAGAGATCGAGACCATCCTGGTCAACATGGCGAAACCCTGTCTCTACTAAAAATACAAACAATTAGCTGGGCATGGTGGCGCGTGCCTGTAATCCCAGCTACTCAGGAGGCTGAGGCAGGAGAATTGCCTGAACCCAGGAGGCGGAGGTTTGCGGTGAGCCAAGATCGCGCCATT